TGAGCTCCACCACCATAGTGTGGGTGCCTGGGGTGAGCTCCACCACCGAAGTGTGGGTGCCTGGGGTGAGCTCCACCACCGATGTGCTCCCCATGCAAGTGGTGCTGGCAGAAATGGCACGGGGAGCTGACCCCCAGGCATGATGAATGTGTTGGCGCTCAAGCGTCGTCTTGACGTAGGAACCTGCAGGAAGGGTTGGGCCGCTTACAAAGACAATCCAGTTTAATGTCATGGAGTTAAAATAGTACTCGTTTATTGCTAACATACTGCTCTTGCATTTATTTTTCTGGGGTCTGAACATTGAAATGATGTGACTTCTCCCATGAACAGACCATGCAGCGTGTTTTTAGGCTTGTTCCAAATGATAAAAGAAGTGTCTCCGGTTTTGTGGCGATGTCTTTCAATCGGATAGAAAGAGGCAGCCGCTCTTCTAATGCTTCTCTTTTCTCTCAGCGCTCTTGGCTAGCACAAACCCTGTTATTTCAGATGCATGTGTTCGTTTGTGTAACTAAAACTCAGAATTGTCACTGAATCTGTAAGGTATATATTTATGCATCCTATATAAATATAAAATTTCAGAATATCAGGGTGCATGGAAATATATTTTATTTGCATGCGTATTGTTTATGCATAGATTATATACTTAGGAGTATAAGGTGTGTACATCTAAAGCTATTTCATAAATATATACTGTTTGAATATATACGTGTGTGCATGCATTTTATATATACAGTAAGTAAATATAGAAGAAGTCATAAAATGGCTGATGTTCTTTCTCGTATCCTTTGCAGGAAAGGTTTCAAGTGAAGAACCCTCCACATACGTACATCCAGAAGTTGAAGGGCTATCTGGACCCGGCTGTAACCAGGAAGGTGAGGAGTGTCCTGTTTCCTCTCACCCGTCCCCGGTTCCCCGGCGAGGATGGTCCCGGGGTCCGGGTTCCTTCCTGCCTTTGTGTAAAAGGCCCCGTAAAAGTCTCTGAGAAGAGTCTCGGAGATGGAACACGCTGCAGGGAGAAGCAAAGAGGAGCTGGAAAGACGCTGCAGTTTTTGCAGCTCAGAAAGGAGAACAGATGTTGCAGAGGAAAGGACCATCCGACCCTTGAAACAACTTCTTCTAATAACGTTAGCTTCGATCAATAGTCTGACAAATTACCCTAGGTCTGACTTTTCACATGGGCAGTGCTGGTGGTGAACAAACCCCCTGTCGGATGGCACTCTCCTCACCCGCGTGACGGGGATGCTGGAAGTTCTGAGTCCGTGTCTCTGGGCGTTTGCGTGACAGAAGCTCTGTACGGCTGGCACAGTTCACCTCTCGCTTCCAGTCTCAGCTGGGGTCTCAGGGTTGTGAAATAAAGGCGTAACCTGGGCTGTATTTAAATGGCAGAGCCTCATCCCCCCCTTTTGCCTATTATTTTGTCCAGGCTAGTTTGATAATCCCTCATGAAAGACTCAGGCACTTCACTTGGCCTTTCCCGCCAACACCGTGCATCCCTGACTGTGGCTTTTGTACCGGGATGTATTTGTGCCTGGTTCTGATATTTCTGATGGGCTTAGTAATAGCCTCTGGGATTTTAGAATAACAATAAACCTACATCCCATTTAGAGGACTGTCTCTGAACCTTCAGTATTTAACCGCTTTGGTTATCGGCTCGTATCCTGTGTTGATAGTTATAATAGCCTTTAAAAAAAACAAAAACAAAAACAACCCAAAAAAAGGCAGCGAGAGCACAGCAGATCCTGCCATTGACTGGCTCTGCCTTGTCCTCAACAGTCGCTGCTTTGTGTTGCCGTACAATCAGCTGAGGTTGGTGCCCTGCAGCCAAATGCGTGCCCTGACCCAGGGCTGGCAGGCCGGGCC